AGCTATGCGCGGTGACGTCACGAGCGGAGCCGAAGAGAGCCGAGCGGAGCCGAAGATAGCCGAGCCCCGTAACCGGGTAACTATGCAAGGCGAATCAACAGCGGTGACGTAACAGGATGACGTGGCACTCATTACACAACAAGCAAGCACTGCAGCTATATAAGTGAGCTGCACAGTGGCTTCGAGTCAGTTCTAATGTGGCTACCAGTTAGTTGTACTGTAACAGTCGCCGAGTCGAGTTGTACTGTGAGAGTCAGTGAGTCCGGGAGCTACCGCCGAGTGAGTCCGAGTTAGCCAGCAACTAGTCAGTTGTATTCTGGCATTTGGAGTGTACTATTTGTGATACTGCAGATAGCAGTAATCGTAAATCTGTAATTTGGGTGATTGTGAGAGCGAATGTGTAATAAAATTCGCTACATCGAATACCTCGTCGCGATATACGCCCGATATGCGACAATATTTTACCATACATAGGAGAGTTACATAATTGAGGTTTGTGAACTATGTGTTTGATGAGTGTGGGCTAGGAAAAGGCAACACTTAAGTCTGATGTAATAATGATGGGATATCATAGTCAATATGGTCAGTCAGATCTGTTTGCATATGACCATAATTACATGTGATATCAGGCTTCTTGAACCAGCTTATCAGAAGGCCATTGTAATCTGTTTGCATTCCATTAATCCCAAGGCTGATGTAGTCAGAGAAAGAAGCCGGCCATTTACTACTACCCATTGCATAGGTTTAGAATATATGGATCTCTACCTCCATCTGCAGTTAATGCCTACATGGTATGCTGGTGAGGCAGAAGGGATGAATTTGTCTTGCCTTTGCACCAGTTTGGAATGAAGATATTTATTGCCACCCTCTGGCTTACATTATTCTTTTTCTTCTTAATTGGTACTTCCATATTCTCTTCACCTCACATCAACCCAGCCCCCCAACCCTCACAATTTCCAGAAACAGTTCTACACCAATGTACACAGACAGTACCTGAAGCCCAAGAAGAATTTATTGATTATCTAGTTAATGAATTTGATATATTAGAACCCTAGATATTAATTAGCATTTTTTTTTGCAGGACAAGTATCTCCACACCAATTGTCTGGCTGCACTTGCCAACATGTCAAGCCAGTTTCGATCACTACATCCATATGTTAGTCAGCGTTTAGTTAGCCTGTTTGAGGCACTTGCAAAAAAACATAGTCGCCTTGCAGATCAAATTCAACAGCAGGACTCAGGAGCACCCCCTGTCACAGTTGTTCATGTGGAAGACACAGAGCAGCCATCAGACGTGGTGAGACAGCTGGCTTATAAATATTCTTACATGTTTGCAGAAGAGTTCCACCTAGCAGTCACTAACTTAACTGGGAATGTATCCGTCCACATATATTGCCATGTGCTTTCTTTTCTGGATATGTGGGTACAGTTACATAAAAAAAATCTTGTGGTCTTTTGGACTGTATAAGCATGTTTCATTTCAGTTATGCAGCATGTTTTGAGTGCTAGAACAGACTGATATTACAGGACAGCTTATAACTGCCTGGCCATGTGAATTGTGATCATAACTATATACAGGGAAGTGTCTAGTTTATGACTGACAATAATATATTAACCCTTCACTGCCGGTGGGCATTTAAATTCCTACTCAACTCCTATGCTGGAGGATATTTAAGTAATTAAATCAGAGAGTGCAACATTTCACTTAAAGTGTAATAAATTGGGAAAAACTGGAGTTTTGTTTTTCTAATTTTCACACTACGTTCAGGAATGTATATAGAATCGGTACCTTGGTCCACACTGCTTTAAAATCATTTTTTGGCACAGTATGAATGAACGAATGAATGTATAAGGGGTGGGCCTTCTTAGCCCTTGCACCACAACCTACAGTGGTCTATTGTGCCTCCCCTTTTGATTATCCCCTCAGCAATCCCACTTCAAATGAAGCGCAGGATTTTGTATGTAGGGGTGTCAAAATAGTCACTTGGTTCCATAAAGTCTTGACCCAAGTGACATAATCTTAACCCGTTGCCGTGGTTCGTCGTGTATGTTTCGTCAGGGATTTAAATCGTCTGGGGGGGTTCGACGTGTATGTTTCGTCCAGCTGCACACGTATGTTATAACGCCCATAATAATTGATGGTTTTGCTGTAGATTGTTAGATTTTTCACTGGCCTGTTGTCAGGAGGACTGTATTTAATGACACACGCGTTTAAGAGCGCTAAGTCGTCGTTACATATGCCTGTCTTGCAGCAA